GCAAACGACATGTTCCCACCCTATTTCATAAATTTAAGATTCTCAATAGGAAATTGTTATATTAAATTGTTTAATATAAGAGTAAAATGGTTCTTGTAAATTCTAGATCTGATTTGGTATTTTGGTTTGACTCGCATCCTGAAGGGTGCGATTCTAGCATCTAGACCTCCACCAAATTAAAACTTCATATCCTCCTCCTCAAAACACATCAAACCCAGATCCAAACTTCATACCTCGAAATCAAAACACCCCAGATCCAAAGACTAAAACAATTTGAGAATCCAACAACACACAACTCAAATCAAACAAAGATCCACACCGCCTCTTAGCCAGTTTTCTTTACCAGCCATAGCAAGAACACCTCCCTAGCCTATATTGCACCTTCCCCAGCCCTGTTTAACCAAAAATTTGATCGGATTTCGTCGTTTCCCGCAACAACCGAGTCGTGCGACTATTCTTTATCGGATTCCAACTGCTTCTAGCGACGATAACCCCTCCCACCACCACCCCTCGACTCACCAGTGCCTCCCCTTCAAAACCCCCAACCTTCCCGACCACATTAACCCATCGTTCGCCACCACCTCTCACCGTAGGGTTTTTTTGCGTTTTGTTGAAATTAGTTGTTGAAGGATTGTTTTTTTTTTTTTTTTTAATGAAATTAAAGCTTGTGATTTGTTTGATTGTTTATTTGGAGTGTTTTTGTGTTTGTTTTTGGCCGGAAATGGGAGGGCACAAAGATGGGAGGAGGGGGAGATGAAGAAGAATAAGATGGAAGAGCAATTTAATAATGGCACCCTCTGCATCGATATCAAAATCAACGATCATTAACGGTGTTAATTAAAATGTGTAAATAAAAATTATATGAAACTAGGGGTGGTAACTTGCCATTTCGCTAAACTTTGGATTGGAACATGACCTTTGCCATTTATTTTTGAAGTCAAGCATTGGTCATAATGTTGTCACATAAATATAAGATAAAATTACAGATTGAGCAAGTAATTAACGATATATAGTAAAATATCTCTATAGTGATACTCTATATAGGAATAAACTCTACATAGTCATAAAAAATAATATTCTCAATTTGAGATAGTTATAAATAAGAATAAACTTTACATTGTAATATAATTTTTTTAATTTCCGTCTTAAATAAAGTTGTCTCTATATAATAATAATTATTTGTATATTACCAAAAAAAATATATATATATATTATCTTACATTAAAGGTTTAAGATGAAATAAAAATATTTACTTAAAGTTGTTTAGAGCAATGATTTTATTCTTTAGAGTTGTTACCACATCTTTTAACTTGTGGGTACATTATTCGCTACCATTGACATTTTCTTATTGAAGCCAAAACATTTATAGCTTCTCAAACATATTTAAAGCTTCTTGGCACGAAACTTTTTGTATTTCCATACTATCATCCTCATTATTATTTCCTTCCTCTTATTGTCTAATTGTAGCAATGATTTCTTCTTCAGTTAAAGCATACATAACTTGTTACTCATTTAAATGATTGAGGAAGACATTGATATTCATTCAATTAGTATAGTGAAGTTGCAGAATTCTAATCACTCAATTCTACAATAACTCTTTGATTCTCCTCATCCACTTCATTTGTAACTTACAATTCACTAATATCGGGGGTCTTAATTTTGCAATGCTTAAAATAATTGGCAATCCATACAGCAATTGCATTTACAATTCCATCAAGGACTCTTATTTTTATTGGTTCCAAGACACGATCTTCTATCCATTTCAAAAGTAGGCAATTAAAGAGTTAAATTGAAACTCTAATACCATTAAAACATGAATTGAAATCCTAATATTTGTACTACTAAAACATGAATTATGAAATAAGAAATTTTTGTAACTACATCTCTATTAAGTTATAACATCTTTATAATAATAAAATCAGTTAGTCCCACCATTATGAGTATAGAGTGGTTTTACTATATTGAGTTTGGATTAAAGCAATAATAATTAGAGCTGCAAACGAACCGAACAGTTCGAAAAACTGTTTGATAATGTTCGCGAACAATTCGATATTCGTTCGATAATATGTTCGATCGAGTTCGAACAGAGGTTGTTCGTTCCATTATGTTCGCGAATATTATACGTTCGACTAATTCATCCGTTCGCAAACAATCGTTTGATTGTTCGTTTGTTTATCTTCGAAAAACATGGTATGCATTATTATAATATATATATATTATTATTTTTTTCATTTTTATATTATGTTTGATTTAGTTTGAATGAGTTTTTTTTAATGGTAATCAATAATAAAATATTATGATCCTTTTGTTTTTCTTATATATATAATATGTTTAGAATTTTTTTTTCCAAATGTCATCAATAATTAAATATATAAGTATATAGCATTTTAATTAAAAAGTAATAAATTATTATGATACATCGCATGACGAATTTAATAACATAATAGATTGTATAATCAAGTGATATATAATATAATAAATCCAATAACATAATAGCTTCATATTTTTTCAAATACAATCAATAATTAAATATTATAAGATAGCATTTCAATTAATAAATAATAAATATAGTATGGTAAATTGATAAACATACCATATTGTATAATCAAGTGATGTATAGCATAATAAATTTAATAATATAATAGCTTAGTTAAATATAGTATGGTAAATTGATGAACATAACATATTATATAATCAAGTGATGTATCGCATAACAAATTTAATAATATAATAGCTTAGTTAAATATAGTATGGTAAATTGATGAACATAACATATTGTATAATTAAATTATATATAGCATGACAAATTTGATAATATAATAGCTTAATTAAATATAATATGACAAATTTATGAACATAACATATTATATAATTAAGTGATGTATAACATAACAAATTTAATAATATAATAGCTTAATTAAACCTAAATTAATCACGCATTTATATTGATCATTTATTATAATAAATCTTCATACCACTATGAATTTATAAATGTTGATACAAAATATATATATATATATATATATATATATATAACAAATTAATCACACATATGTATTGATCATATATTACAATAAACTTTCATTCCATTATAAATTTATAAATGTTGATACAAAATATATATATAACAAATTAATCACACATATGTATTGATCATATATTACAATAAACTTTCATTCCACTATAAATTTATAGGTGTTGATACAAAATATATATGTAAACATTTAAAATATTTATGATAATTTATGTAATGATAATAAATATATGATAATCTATAATTTTTGTAATTTCATAACATATTTAACCTATGATTAATTTCTGTATGATAATAATTTGTATATATACAATTACACATTATATATAACAAATTAATCACACATATGTATTGATCATATATTATAATAGACCCTCATTCTACTGTAAATTTATAGGTATTGATACAAAATATATATGTAAACATTTAAAATATTTATGATAATTTATGTAATAATAATAAATATATAATAACCTATAGTTTTAGTAATTTTATAATATATTAAATATATTTAATTTGTGATTAATATATGTATGATAATAATTTTGTATATACACAGTTATATATATATATATAAAATTTCTTTTTTTTTTAAAAAAAAAATCCGAAAATCTAAACTCACATTTTTGAACGAATATGAATAGACCTTTTGTTAATTGAACAAACATGAATAAATATTTGTGTTCGTTCAAGTTTAAACATGAATTTGAATAATCGAACAAGTTTCGAACGGCCTGTTCGAACGTGTTCCATTGCAGGCCTAAATTAATAATAGAATGGAATAAATAATTGAAAATTGGCATGTTCAATATGGTCTGGTCAAATATTTCTAGTTTTCTACCAGGGTCCTACTGCAAAATGGATTTTATTGATTGATCATTACATGATTCGCTGGCAAATCATGGACCACTGATCGAAATCGTAAACAAGTGGCAAGCTTCAATCTTCATCCATAACCACACACGTGATCCATGTAACCCACATGGGTCCCTCCGATCTTAGATCCTAGTATCCTACGCATCCGTTCGTACGGTAAAGAATAATGTCCCTCCAACAAGTCATGTGATGCAAAAACGTTAATCGCAGGATTTAAAAAAAAAAAAATTATGGCGGAAGTGGAGGTTTCCAATAAAGAGCTTTCAAATCTTTTATGAAATCAAACTTGTTCCTCTTTTGTGCCGTGCAGTGGCATTACCTCCAAAATAAAATTTAATTGCCCGTGGACAGTATATCAAGTACGGTTTTGGAATGTAGTGAAAGGGTTTGATTGGTTAGTAATAAAGTTTGAGTTCTGTTGGCAGAATCGATTGACTAAGGAAGATTCCTGGAAACGGGATGAAAGGAAAAAAAGAGAATCTTTGTTGAATATGTGATTTTGACATTTTCAACTCTAGTTAATTTCTATAAAAGCAATGCATTGCAGGAAAATAGTTCAAAAGGAGATCAAATTGAATCGACATTTAATTGCATTGCCATGTGGTTCCTGGCCAAGAGCCATGATGTAACCTTTCCTTCAAGTATTGTCAGTTTCAGTATCAGATTTTTGGAGGGTTGGACCCGAAATAAATAATAACTGTAACTGGAGATGAAACCAATAGATCCAAATCTTCAGGAACAAAGTTGGTAATTGATGATTAGCCTTTTTAACGAGGATATCTTCAAAATCTCATGATTTGTTCAATTATGGTATTATTGTCTCAATCATGTTAGTTTTCAAAATATTAATCGCTAATTTAATCTCATAATTAGGTTACAAAGTTATGAATGATTACGGAAATATGAACATATAGAAATGGGTTTTTGGGTAGAACAGAATTGGATGCTTATTATAATTATATAGGAAGATGAAGAAGAAAGCAATATGTGACACGTCTACTTGACACGGCAAAAGTGGGACCAAGAATACGTGCGATTTCCAGTGGACCCCAATTTTCATAGTCCATAACGCGGTTTGGATGGACCCACATAGACACTTACCGGCTACCGCCTCGCTACTAACAAAATCCGCAGTTGGTGATGTTGTTTTAGGCAAAGAGGCAAAAGAGCAATTAGGCCGATGAGTGAGTTGCAGGGGGAAGAAGCATCGCAAACGCAGCCAAATTCAGATAATGGATAGTAAAAGTAAAGCGGATTAAATATATCTAATTTTTTTGAAGTTACGAAAACTTTTTTTTTGTTTGTTTTGGATTCTTCTCATTCATTATCATTAATTGCTTGCTCTCTCTCTTGCTATATATATTGGGGTCAGGGGGTCTCATGTGGAGGGAATAATAGAGTAGTATATCTTGCGCCGCATGTTGGTCTCTTTGGATGATATTGTTGTTTTTTGTCATCGGAACCAACGCCACATAGAGTTTTGTGGGTTATTTGAAAATGTCCCAGAAGAGGCAACAAGAGGATGGCAAGGCTAAGGCAGAAGGGACTAGGCCAGAGGACAAGCGGAGGAAATTTTTTACTTTCAGAAGGTGAGTGATGTCCTCGTTTGATTGATTGTTTTTTCTACGTTGTTGTTGTTATTACTCAAAAGTTTTATTTTTATTTTTTCAGCTGAAGTTTAGAATTGAATGAGAAATGAAGTGGTTGTGCTTGTTTGGTTTAAAATCGTGGATGAATGTGGTGAAATATAGTTGGGATTCTAATGGCACAGTGGAAATCTAATTGAAGCTGAACTGGTTCCTTTTTGTTTGTGGAGTTTGTTTTGTCCATGTGAAATATATGCTGAATTCTTTAGGTAAATCGGAAATGGCTGAACCGCGCAAGAGATGTGTGCTTGTTTTATGACAAGTGGCAATGAATGTGCTTGGTGCTTGTGGAATATTACCTTTTAATTGTTAATGCGGCTTGAGTGTTTATGTTAATTGGGGTTATTTGCTTTTTGAAATGGTAACAGATAATAGAATCTAAAATTTGTGTTGGAAGGTCCTTTCCCTGGTCAGATTGATGACTTTGGCTATGTGTGATTAAGATTTGACCTTGGATTTATTCTTTTCTGAGATGGAATAATTTTTCTTTTCTGAATATGGACAATAAGTGTAAAAAGGAAAATCTATACTTGTTCCATTATCTGGCAACGGATGTTATTTCTATGCTTTTGAAGTTGGAACGGAGAGAGTTCACTTGAACATTCTGTTGTTTATTTCGCTAATAGATCAATTGTTACGGTTGCTTGTTACTTTTTGTTAACTTGATGACTAATGATCAATGTTGTAGTATGATTATGATATTTTTTTTTCCTTTTTCTCTATTTTCACTTTCTCATTTGTTGTTGATTTTGTTTAGTGCGGTTCAGGAGGTTATGAACAGACAGACTGTCCAGCATTACCTGGAGCCAGTTTTGGAGCCCCTCATTCGTAGGGTGGTATGCATATTCCCTTAATCAGTTCCATTGTCAAGAATCAAGCTTAGATAATTTACTACGCATTTCTTTGTTTTTACAGCTTGTTGATTCTAAAACAATAAAACTAACATTTAATGCACAAATAAATACACCACAGTTTCTAACAACAGTAGTTGGTTGTGAGCTCCCTGTAATTTTTGGCTCCTTGCATATTTTTGTTGCTAGTACAGTTAATTTTGGAAAGAATTTTTAATGAATTATTGTTTATGTTCTACAGGTAAAAGAGGAAGTTGAGTTGGCTCTAAAAAAACATTTGATGAGCATCAAATGGTAAGAATTAACATTGTGGTTTTGATGATATATCATTGAAGTAGAAAGGAATAAAAAGTATCTAGGTTTTAAGCCAGAAAGTTTTAAAATATATTTGTTTATATTTTTTATGCACCCTTGTGCAGGAGTAGCGGGAAAGAGATACATGCTCCTGAATCAAGAAGCTTACAACTGAAGTTTGCAAATAATCTTTCTCTTCCTGTGTTCACTGGAGCTCGAATTGAAGGGGATGATTCTACTATAAAAGTAGCTCTTGTTGATACTCTTACTGGGCAAATTGTTTCCTCTGGTCCTGAATCTTCTGCCAAGGTGGAAATTGTAGTTCTTGAAGGTGACTTTGATGGTGATGAGGCTGACAATTGGACAGTTGAAGAGTTTAAGAACAACATTGTGAGAGAGAGAGAAGGAAAGAAACCTCTTCTTACAGGAGATCCATTTTTTACTCTTAAGGAAGGAATTGGTTTGGTGGGTGAGATTTCATTTACAGATAACTCAAGCTGGACCAGGAGCCGTAGGTTCAGACTGGGGGCAAGAGTTGTGGATAACTCAGATGGAACTAGAATAAGGGAAGCAAAGACAGAATCCTTCATTGTTAGGGATCACCGAGGGGAATGTAAGTTTTGTTTACTTATTGGTCTCAAGAATGTAGCTGATTACTATTACCTTTACATTTTTTTAGGGTCTAATGATTTCCAAGTGTTATTGATGTTGTATTCTTTTCTTTTCTGAACCCTAATAATTTAACAGTATTTAAAGGCAATGAATTTGATTGTATCACTCCGAGAAGAGATTATATAAATTGTATATATGCTTACATATAGTTAACTTTTGTGTTGAATCTTCTTATTTTTTGTCTTTTTTCCTTGATGCACCTTTTAACTCAATTCTTTGGCCATTTTTGTTGTAGTGTTTGGTCCTATTACTACTATATACTGATAAAATATAAATTCTGTAAATTGCTGAATGAATATACTTAATGGCCTGGAACTTAGCATATAAATTTGAGTTGATTGACTTTACTTTATTTGCACTGGAGTGAACTTGTTATCCAGTTGTTCACATCTTTCTTTGATGACTGGTTGTCTATGGAATTGAAAATTTTTAATTGCTAACCTGAAATCAAGCACATGACATATTTTAGGTTGTTCAAATAAGGTATTGAAACAAAGAGAGAAATGAAATTTCTATTTACTTTTTTTATTCGGGTTGCAGTGTACAAGAAGCACCACCCTCCTTCCCTGTTCGATGAAGTCTGGAGATTGGAAAAGATTGGCAAAGATGGAGCTTTCCACAAGCGTTTGACTCGAGAAAGTATCCTGACCGTCAAAGATTTCTTGACCCTACTCATATTAGACCCTCCAAGGCTTCGACATGTAAGAGTTTACTGCTTTATCTCTTATATTTTACCTTTATAGTACTGTACTACTTATACTTTGCACATTTATTTTGATAATCATGATTTAATCTTCTTTTCAAAGATCTTTGGCCAATGGTCATGTGGTCTGGTGGGCATTTGCTGCAAGAAGTGCAAGAAGCCTTAGAAGACCTGGGTTGGGTATGGGCACGTGGATAACTGGATGCCTGCCCTCTTTGAAAACCAAAGGCTCCATATCTTTGGAAAATTTTGAGATTTTAGATGTTGCTTCGGTGTGTATGGACACTAACATCTATACTTACATTCTTAGTATCCACTCCTAAGAATATCTTGTGCATTGCAAGTGAGAATCAAAGTTGGTGGTCTAAATCAGACTTCCAATAAGATTTATGTCTTGTGTATGTTACATTAATTGTTATGTAGTAATAATACTATTTATGTGTTGGTTTGTACACAGATACTTGGCACAGGTATGTCTGCTAAGATGTGGGAAGTCACCGTGGACCATGCTCGGACATGTATACTTGACAAGAGGACATTCTTGTATTGCCCGCCTGGTTCTCAACAGAAATCCGGTGTGGTCTTTAATGTTGTGGGACAAGTGATGGGATTACTTTCAGAATGCCAGTATGTTCCCGTTGATAAGCTGTCTGAAACAGAAAAGGCACATTTCTCTTATCACATCATATTAGTTTTCCTTCTTCATTCGGTTGTATTTTTTTTTTTCTTTTGTTGTTTCTAATGATCATCTCTGACATCAGGCTGAAGCTCAAATCTTGGTAATTACTGCATATAAACATTGGGATGAAGTTATCTCTTTTGAGGATGAAGCCTCTCTCATGGGTTCCTCTTCACAATTAACTAATGCTCTTTGCACATCAAGCTCCCCCATGACTGATATTTCTAGTGGGAGCAAGACTTTAGCTTCTCAGAAGATGGGCGGATATGATTATACACAACTGAATGCCTCTTCTCCTGATATTATATCATCCATTTATTCTGTTGGGAGTGTGACTGGCTTGGATGATTATGGCTTACACAGTATAGAAAATATGGGTCTCAGATATGACCAGACATTGAGTTATCCGAGCCAAGTCAGCAACTCCCTGATATGTGACACAGAGTCCATCACTCGTTCTTTCTGTGATGAGGATCATCTGCGGTTCTTTGATACTGATCTTCAGGCTCAGAGTATCACTTTGGGATCACCGGCTGATCTACAAAGTGCGGTTAGTGACTTCTTAAGACCTCATACCGTTGGTAAAGCAGCTCAGATGAGATGGACAAAGCTGTTCAGTGTGCTGAAATTTTTCTATGTAAGGAAAGTTGTGGCCAAAAAAACAACTCCTCTTCTGAGATATGCCTAGTGGGCTGTGAAATTTGGTTTTGTTTCGGTAGCAAGTATTATAATAGTGAGAGCTGCCCAATTAAGTTTTGTGTGCAGTTGTAGATTGCAACAAGTTGCTGGTTTTATTAGATGTAGATTCAGCTTATAGTTCATAAAATTGGGGTCTGCTGGCTGAAGATGAAAACTACGCGTTAGATTGTGGATATGTAGATGTGCACACAGGTATTAGGTTTAGGGTTCTTGCTGTAAACTTTCAGCTGCTTCGTTTGAAGCTTTAATGTTCATGTGAAAACTTGAATGCTTGACAGTAGCTGTCAAGTTGGATTATCATTTTGTACAACCGCATTTTGTTAAATAAAGGCTAAGTATTTTATTTTATGCTTATATTTTACTTCTTGAGACCCCAGAGAGAATTACCTTAGATTGATCGAATTTATACATCATATGATCTACTAGTAACATTCAAAATTTTCATTGCATTTTAGTTTTTCTTGTTCACTAAATAATGTATTTGTTTGTTCATTAGTCAAATTGGTAGGTATGATCACTCCCTTGTGACCGGATAGCAAAACTTTCAGTCACTGAAGTTAGCTATATCTAAGTATTTTGTGTTCGAGTCATAAGAGAGGTATCTACAAATTTGTGAAATTAATTTTGTTTATAAGGTTTATAGGATGTTTCATGATCCTGAGGATTAAGCAGACTCTAATATGGGCTTGGATATCTCGGATACCTAAACAAAATTGATAGGTATTGACTAGTAGTTGAAATATCAAAGTTCGCAGTTTCAGCAAAGATGGAAATAGTAGTAATCCTCAAAAGTCAGAAGTAATTTAAAAACTGGATCTTCCCATCGATTCTTTTGGACGGCTTTGATCATTTTAAGCTTTGTTCCCGAGCCAAGTTCAACTCCTTTTGGTCATTAATGTCAAAAAGATTGAACCAACTTTCTTCATCGACCCATCATTTTCCAAAGTAACTATCTATAAAAAACCTCAAGCTGATTCAATGTATCTTCTGTTACTAAGAAAAAGCAAACTCTGAAGACAAAAGAAATGGAGAAGCAAAAAGGTCACATTCTTGTGCTTACATATCCTGCCCAAGGCCACATAAACCCTCTCCTTCAGTTTGCTAAACGCCTGGCGTCCAAGGGACTAAAGGCCACTCTAGCCACCACCCATTACACTGTCAAGTCAATCTGCGCAACCACAGTTGGTGTCGAGCCCATCTCCGATGGCTACGATGAAGGCGGTTTCAAGCAAGCTCCAAGTGTAGAAGCCTACTTGGAGTCTTTCAGAACAGTTGGTTCAAGAACTTTTGCAGACATCATACTCAAGTACCAAAACTCAGACTCACCTGTTGACTGTATTGTGTATGATTCATTGCTGCCTTGGGTTCTTGATGTAGCTAGACAGTTTGGCGTTTATGGAGCAGTAATATTAACTGTTTCAGCTTCTGTTTGCTCTATGTTTTGGCAAATAAATCAAGGGCTTTTGACTTTGCCCATGAAGCAAGAAACCATGCCCTTATTGTTGCCTGGCCTGCCTTCACTTGAATTCTGTGACTTGCCAAGTTTTCTTGCACAGCCTGCAAGTAATCGTGCTTATTTGGCAGAGATTTTAGAGAAATTTGCCAGATTGAATGAAAATGATTGGGTGTTCTGCAACTCCTTTCAGGAGCTGGAAAGTGAGGTAACTGGATTGTGTTTCATGTTCAAAGCTTTTATAGTTTGCTAAACGGTTGATTTAGAGCAGTAATTGTCTGTAGAGTCAGAAGAAGAAACAAAGATATTGTTGTGTCATGTTGAGCGTGTAGATAACGAATTACCTTAAGGACATTACGATCATGATCATGATGTCAAATTTTACGCTTGGTTTGATATAGTAAATTATTTTTCTAATTTGTGATACTTTTCACTTCGTAAAAAGCTAGTGGAGACGATGTTGGGACACTGGCCATTGGTGATGATCGGTCCAATGGTGCCATCAGCCTACCTGGACCAACAGATTGAGGGAGATTCAGCTTATGGAGCTAGTCTTTGGAAACCAACAAGTGAAGAGAGCATGAGATGGCTAGACACCAAGCCAGAAAATTCAGTGATATATGTGTCATTTGGAAGCATGGCAGATATTGCAGCTACACAAGTTGAGGAAATAGCATGGGGCTTGAAAGCGAGCAACAGGCCTTTCTTATGGGTTGCAAAGGAGAATGAGAACAAGTTGCCAGTTGACTTTGTGAAGTCAGTTGGTGACACAGGGTGCGTTTTGACATGGTGTAACCAGCTTGAGGTGCTAGCACACCCTGCCGTGGGTTGCTTCGTAACACACTGTGGATGGAACTCGACTTTGGAAGGGCTGAGCCTGGGTGTGCCGATGGTGGCAGTGCCGCACTGGAGTGACCAGCCAACTAACACTAAATTTGTGGAGGATGTGTGGAAGGTAGGAGTGAGAGTCAAGAAGGATGAACAGGGGATTGTTAAAGGGGAAGAACTAAAGAGATGTATAGAGGAAATCATGGATGGAGAAAGAAGTGAAGAATTTAAGCGCAATGCATCCAAGTGGAGAGAGTTTGCCAAGAAAACTGTTAGTGTTGGCGGTAGCTCAGATAGGAATATTGATGAATTTGTAATGAAGATGATGAAAGGAGAGAGAAAGAGAAACTTTTGATTGTTGTCATCAGTCATCACTTTAATAATAAAAGTAATTGAACTTCTTTGATAATAAATATATTATTGGCTCTGGAAACTAAACATGACAGTTAAATCAACATAAAACTCTTAGATAATGTGTTTGTATAACGAGAAAATCGAGAGCAGGTTATCCATTTGTAAAGGTTTGTTGTTTGCTCAGGTAACTGAACATATATATGCAATAGCTAGTTACATCAAAGTAGCTAGTTTTATCCCATCCATTGTTTTTTTTTTTTTTTTTTTTTTTTTAAATGATTGGGGTTTGTTCGGACCAGCTTATGCTGAACTAATTCTCCGAGACTTGGAACTATCGGCCGGATAAGAGTTTTGTGGTTACCTCTATTAGCACTCGATGAGGGACTCAAACTTAAGACTCTTGAATAATACATTAAAAAAAAAATCTCTATCGAACCGCTTGTCCACCCAGATATAGTTATCTCATCCATTGTTTATCTCAATAATGCATCCTACACTCTACTCTTACAACTCATCTGACTTTTATGATCTATCCATCATTTAAAATCTAGTTAAAACAATAGCTTACCCAATTTCTTTCTATTTCCGCAAAAATATTTTCAATTTGAAACAACTGATCAGATATAGAGCAACAATTGATACATGGGAATCGAGGTAAGTTATGGTACCGCTTGTAATATGACCATGATTTTGTCATCTTATAGACTAAACCTTGAAGAACAGTTAAACATAAATTCCAAAATACATGAAGATCTCTTCTTTATTCATCCTCTGAACCATGATATTTTGTTATTGATAAGTATAGACAATATAAATGGTATAGGAAGAGTGAAAAAGATCAAATTTACATGTATGTTTCTGTAACCAATACATTACATTGACTGAAAACATATACTTTCCCTTTGAAAACTAAAAGAGAGAAGGTATGCAGTGAAAAGATTGTGATTGGTGCTCATTTCAGAGCAATGTTTAGAAGATCATAAAATAGCTACTGCAGAAATGACAGAAGACTCTCAATATCCTTTTCACCAACAACATATCAAGAGAGTTCACATCTTACAAGCATCGCTGTTCCCACATACTTCACCCTGCCAAATTGGTTATAATTCAACAGAATACCTTCTTGTTAAAACCATGCAAAGGCCTTGAAGGAAATATAAAGGTTAACTTGTTGAATACAAGAAACAAAGAAATTTACTAATTGCAGTATTCCTGGTACCTACCTTGTTCTTCCTGCGTGTTTCCAATATTTCTTCTAAAGGAGGTCGACCTAAACCAAAAGAGGCCATTGCATTTAATAAAGAATTTCATTGAAGCATCAGTTTGATCAGGAATGGAAGCAATTTCAGAGTTCTTCACAGAGTAGTAACTAGGAGGAAATAAAAGAGACCCAAACTGAATCTTTTTTTGATGCAACACATCAGGGACTATAAATCTATGAGGGATATCGGTAAGTTGTATAAACCTACCAGTAATCTGAAGACGAAATTTAGCCCAAACACCATAAACAGCATCAGCTACTGTGGCAATCTGCAATAAATGCTTTGTAAGTAATATATATAAAATAGAAAAGACAAACAGAGTTTCTTTTAAATATGCATAATTCAATAAGAAATAGACCAATAGAACTAAGGTAATTTCATGAGGAACGAAGGGGCTTACAGGTTCATATTTAGTTATTGCATAAACCCATCCAAGACCAACTTGTTCATATAATCTTCTAAATGCCTGCATAATTTTTTTATGCAATGTAAGCAAATAAAGGCAAATAAGAACTTTAAAATCCAACCTCCAGTCCTCAATCCAAAAGAACAAAGATTTACTCGGAAAGCAAGATCAACAACTTAAAACGGCCAAAGGAGGCTTACTTCCACATCTGTAACTACAGTTCCATCCGAAAGAATTGCATGAATTCTTCCCATAACCTAAACAAAAAAACAAAAGTGAACAACATATATGTCTAAAAATTGATATTTAAGCATGCTACTGATTTCTTCGTATTTGTAACTCTAATCACATACAGTTTTGTAGTCCAGGCCTTGATTTTCCTCAGGAGAGTATTCATCTGAACCAATGTCAACAAACTTTATAGTCCCATATTGCTTGTTCCTCTCCCTCAGCATATTAACCTGACAACGATATAATAAACATAAAGAAATCAAGAAAACAACACAATCTAAGACAATAAGATATTAAAATAGAAAGAAAATAAAAACATATAAGCTATTGCACCTCACGCATGCATAGAGGGCAGTCTCCATCATAAAGCATTTTAATCTTCCAATTCTCTGGCTCAGGCGATGCTTCTTTTTGTTGTTCTTTATTGGGAATTAAGGGATCCACAGTTGCCCCCTGTATAGCACGAATCTGATATATGGTTCCTACAAATACAAATGCATGACAAGATGAATTAGTGCAATATTTAATGAAAAATAAACCAAAGTTTCATGAATTCTGAAGTTTAGAAAATGAAAACCAAAAGAGATGGTCACCAGCTTGGCGATTGGAATGTGATGTAAATGAAGGAGGATGATGAAATCTGAGATTAAGATAGTGATTCGTAGAAGAAAGAAATGGGCTTCTTTGTCTTGCAATAAAAGCAAGAGCCTGAGCTCCTTTCAAAGCCATTCTTGTTCTGCGGATTCAAAACCTGTTCATTCAAGTGTTTTCGATGGGAAGGACTTTCTGTTATAAACGGCTATATGTACGTGGCAAGCTAGTGTTCACCAAAAAAAATAATTAATTAATTAATTAAAAAGAAAAAAAACTGGGCATTAACGAAATATAGTCGAAATATAGGGGCAGCAACTGAAAACTCCATTATTTAACTTAGGTACCCAACTGGGATTGGGGAAAATTTGCTCTTTTACTCGGAAGTCGGAACTTGAATACTTCTTGTGCTGTGTGAATCGGTTCGTGTTGTGAATTGTGATTATGGCATTTTTATCTAGTAAGAGTTCAATAGCTGCTCACTTACGATCTCCTTTTCAGGTCTGTTCATGTATTTTTTTTAATCGAATTTGTTTGATTTTTTATATTTCTCAAGCTAAGAGCATTTTGCACTGAAATGATAATCAGAAGACGGAAGATCCGGTTTCGCTGTCGCGTCGTAGGTTGCACGTCGAACCTGGGGCTCGTGAGAAAGCTGTGAGACACTTTTCACTTTCGTTTTTTAATTTATTTCCATTAGGGTTTTTTTTTATTTTTTACTCTTTCTGTTGCTGTATTGTTATTTGCTTTATGACGATTAGACTGGTATTAGTTGGTGCTAGTTAGGTGAATGGTGGAGAGATTCTTATTTATTAGAAAGTTGAGAATTTGCTTTAGCTTTCATGTTTGGATCCTGTTTCGGAATCCCAAAAAGGATAGATGTTTCTGCTTTTATTTTTATGTAATTGAACTAGTTTGAAGTTCTGAAGATTAGTATCGTAGTTTCTCGTTAACTTGTTTGTGCTAGGTTTATTTGTGTGTCATCTGATATTTAGTTGGATACCTTGCAGCTACTGGCAGAAGACCCGATTCTCAATAGATACAAGTCGAGTAAAGATGGTGTTCGGCGGTTGAAAAGACTCGGGGATGTTCTCACAATTGTTGTTGTGGCAGGTATGCTTGGTGTCTTTTGTATGCTATGAATGAAACGGTTTATGAGCGCAGTTTAGTAAGATAGCTTGAATAGTTCTATAACAACCAGGTATATGTCTCTATAATGTGCTTTATTATGTTTTTGTATATGCCTCAGGGGTAATGTGTATAACAGTTTTTTCTGATTTTGGGAATATGGTTGACATGAGGCCTCTATCAAATTTACAGCGTAGAATATTTGTTATAACCCAACAACTTACCATTTTGTCTAAAATCTAAGTGAAAAATTAGACCTTTATTTGGACTTTTTGAAACTAACACCTATACATTATGAAATTAAAAAATTTTTCATCATAATGCTACTCTTGGATAGTTTAAAGCTTATCATCCTAGGCATTGCTATTATAAGTTAATCCTAGGCGGTAGATTTTTTTTTTTTGCTCTGTGGAGGTTAATGACATTAGCTTAGTTTGAATAGTAGGATATCCAGATAACTAATCCGCTGACACTGTGAATAATATAAAAGTTTTATCATTAAGATGTCTACAGTATGATAGATGCCTCTCAGCTTATGTTGGCTAATGTGCTGAAATTGCTGATAAAGCCTCTTGAAGTCAATCTTTCTAACCTTAATGAAGGGGGGAAAGTTGGGCAATTTATATACTCTAATATCTTCTTGGTATTATATCATTTGTCTGTGTAGAATTCTTTCTCTATAATTCATTGGTTCCTGGTCGCCATCTTCTTATTCTCTGCAGTATAGTGTCTGATCTAAAATTCTGCAAAGTTGTTTATAATATTTCTTTAGAAAGTTTATTTTATGAGTTGATGACCTCCAACATTCAAAATAAAGTCAAGTCAGAATAAATTCTTTTGTACTTATTTTCCCCAGCCATAACATCTACCAAGTCATTGGTTTTGGGATTTTTGTTGTGGCAGAGGAGAATCTAATTTTGTTGTGGTTGGAAAAATAGTCTCCACCACAGCTTATAAACTAATGGCACTGCAGCCCAAGTTGGCTAAAGACAGAAATTTTTCCAGTTACATGTATTTTGGACCTTGGTTGTTTGCAAAGCCTATCTGTGCTAACACATGCATACATGCATTCATATTCTATGTGATTCATTTCCTGTGTTTAATTAACCCATATCTTATTCAAACTAGAACCTGATGTATTGCCGATACCCTTTTTTCGCTAATTCCTGGGCAAAAAAATGCTTTTAAGTGTTTCAGTTGCTTTTTGTAACTTTGACTGAAAAAATTTATAGCTTCTTGAACTTGAGCTGTGATGCTCCATATACTAAGAGCTGGCTAAAAGCAGTTATCTTTCTGCAATCAGATGGACTATCTAGTTTTATAATTTTGGATCAATATGTTTGTTAAATATGACAAGCTTGCTTGCCTAGAGCTTTTGTGAACTGTTGTGTGTTTGTTTCAGGATGTTGCTATGAAATTTATGCCAAGAAGTTCGGAAACAGGCAAGGACTGGCAACTGAAAGTTAAAGATTGTGCTTGTCTGGGAGTTTTTTTTTATTTGCTTGGCAACAATCTTTAGACCTTTTATTGATTTTTGCCTAATTGTTAGAATAAGCCGAACTAATATGTTATGAAAAGCTTGAATGTAAGGCTTGATGTTCTGCTGATCACATGTTGGTCCCTATCTTTCATGAAAATAACTGATAATTTCAATTGATATGGTCAAGCTTTCTGCATTATGTTCCTGGTTCATACTAATGTTTTGGGCAATAAATGGGATAAACGAAGCCCGTTGTATTTTAATTTTGAGTCAAGTTAAATATGCCCCATTTCTTCTTTTGAGTGCATAAAATTGTCATATATGAATTTGCATTTAAATTTGGAAATTATTTTTCGGGTTAATTTTATCTGCACCTATAAGAAAACAGAGGTTTGTGGGTTCATTATTAAAAATGTCGGCATTTTAACTTCATTTAATAGAGGATAGAGTTTATGAATAAAATCACTCTTCAACAGAGAATGGATTTATGAAGAAAATAGGTGAGATTTATTTAACATCACTCTTCAATTTCTTGTGTTCACTACTTAGATGCTTGAGGAAATTATTATCCCACTTTGAAGAATGGGTTGATCAGAAACTGTCTTCAATACGATAGGATCTCATTAGGTCAACCACTGTTCTATGAGCCCTGCAATATGTTATTGCGGTTGGCATTGTAACAACATAAATGCCTACTCATTGGATTCATCATTGACATAAAACAGTCCATACCCAATCCGATATTGCACAGCCACAGACTCAAATCTTCAGCACTAAATAATTCACAAATAGAATAACGACAGCTCAACCCCTGACTATTTAGACCAAATTTTTGGCCCCCCAAATGAGGAAAGAAAGAAAAAGTACTATATTTGTGATGGCCGCCTCGCCCATTGGCTGCACAATGCTTTCTTTTTGGCATGATATTCGATAAATTAGGTCCAACTCTAACCCATGGCTGGGTCTCTTTCGTCTCATGGAACCCACCGTATATTAAGAAATAGTTGGGGATTAATTTAAGACCCACTTCAGCTTTCGGTTCAATAATAAAAATACTTGAATGAAAACGTTTTAAGAGAATTTGATTCTTTTTCAGTCCCATTCAGATCAATGTTTAAATATTGTCTGCATTCTATTGACTTGTCATGAGAGGACACGTGTAAACCAAAATTAAAGTGGCATGTTGGATTGGAAAGGGCAAAAAGAGAAAGGAGAAAGTAGGATGGGTTTTCTTTTTTCTTTTTTTCAAATTGGATAAAACGGAGTTGTTGGATCGTGCATGCATTCTATTTGTCAGACAGATTTTATTTCATATATAAATAATATTCAAAATAAAGAATCATATGTTATCATTAATTTATGACCAAACCAAACCAACCCAAATTTTGACACTAACACTTACATTATTAATCACTAATTATACCACCACTTGCTCTATATAATCTACCTTATACACTTGCATTATTCCTGGAATTTTATATTTTCACAACAAAAATATATATCAACTCAAAGTTAAAATATTGTTTTTGGAAACATTAAAAACACTTTAAAGTAGGCCTTAGCTCATCTACACGCGCTGTTTGAGGAAGTGGATAAGAACAACCCAATGAACCACCACTGGATTGTCGTGGTGGGGTGATAAATATTTATAGATGTATTATTTAAAGATCTTAAATTCAATTTTGTTCAATTATTAATAAAAGTGACCGTTGAAATATTTATCCAATTATTAACATCGGAATCCCACCAATTAATGGGGTGCGCGCAAAGTGACACGGGTCAACCAAAAAAAACCGCTGAATTAAAACCGGAACATGTCCGAATCTGTGACTGGGTTTCAACTATTTCAGTCGGAAGCGGTATTAATGTACTCTTACCAATAGGTAACTGATACGTTTCATATGTGATTGTGATGTGGCATGGTAATTTCCAAACATTTGGTGAAGATTATCTTAGTCAAAAGTACCAAAATGTCCCTGATTTAGACAGCTAGCACTTGTGATTGGCCAAAAGTCTAAGAAAACACCTAGTACTGTTTCACTGTCTGTCTGAGCTGTAATCCCAGACTCAGAAAAACAAAATTTTGAAAAGGGGGAGTTGTATTTAGAAGACAAAGTCGTCTTCTTTCTCATCATCGAATACTTGAAAGTGTCTGTGTGTTCATATTTTTTTGTTTTGTTAAGAGAGAGAGAGAGAGAAAGAGAGAGAGAAAAGAATTTTGTGAGGGGTAAGATCTGAGATGGCAACTTTTGGAGGAACAACCCAGAAGTGTAAGGCGTGTGAGAAGACTGTGTATTTGGTTGATGAGCTCACTGCTGATAGTAAAGTCTATCACAAGGCTTGTTTTAGATGCCACCACTGTAAGGGTACTCTCAAGGTGATTAAAACAAACTCTCACTCTCTTATAAGCTTATTGATAGACATACGCTTTTGCATGTTGAATTGAATTTTGATGTATTTGTTGTTCTTTTTGCTTCCTTTCCTTTTGTTTGATCATGTTTACTTGGCAGAAACTACTTTTTTTTATATGTATATATTTATTGTCCTTTCGTTGTTTGGTGTTGAAGTTTGGAATTTTATATTTAAAGATGATGATTAGTTATGAGTTACGAGACTGTTTAATGTTTTTTCATTTGTTGTCTGTTATATGGGATTGTAGTTTTTAGTTTGTGTACATGAATCCGACGATGATCCTCATATCGTAATTAAGATCCGTTCAACTAGGATCTTCTCGTGTTTATGTGTACAAACATAGTTTGCTTCTTCCAAGGCTTTATTTCTAATCTTTTATTGCTTCAATGACTTAGATTGAGTAATTTTGATGTGGCCCGCTGGCGACAGCTACGTCTAGATCCCTGGGAAATTTCAAACTTTGTGTCCTCTTGTTTGATGATAGACCAATTAAATCAGTTAGAAATTCCTTGACATATTGTCAATTATAAGAGGATTTGATACTCATTTTATGGTCCTTTTTTTTTTTTTCTCTTTTTTGAATTTAATGTGCACCTTTTGAACAACCCTGCGCTTATTGGCCACATGTATCCTTTTTCAGCAAAAATCTCAAATCATTATGTAAAATCTTTGTTCTACTTTTCCAAATATTCCAACTCTTTAGTTGGATGAATAACCACTGGCAAACATAAACATGTGAAGCATTATACAATGTGAGGATTTGGATTCATTTGTTGCCATGAAAAATTTGAAATTTCCTGAGAAGTATTTTGTAAGCAACAGATTCTGTAAGTTCGGACTATGGATAGAAACGTCAACAATTTGAGGACTTAAATAAATTTCAAAATAGAAGAAGTTTTATCTGCTTTTAATTATGTTGAGCCTTAAGGAATTGGGGTAGAAGGAATAGACAAAAGATAAGAACAAGATATAATGGCTTCCATACAGATAATAATCTAATAGTCATAGAGGTTTACAATAAAATGCTGCAGAATGGTGCTGCTTTTTCAAACTTGAAATTTGAGTATTATTGAACTTGATATTGTAATTTTGAGAACTTTTTTGGAGTTTCGAAAACCCCAACAGTATTATATTTTTGCTAACAGGGATTATGTGTGAATATTCTATAGATGATATCAATTTTTCCACTATAATTTTATTTCTCATCTTCTTCTACAACATTGCAGCTGTTCAATTATTCCTCCTTTGAGGGTGTTTTATATTGCAAGCCTCACTTTGATCAACTGTTTAAGATGACTGGGAGCTTGGATAAGAGTTTTGAAGGTGCTTAATCGTTCGGATATTTACCTAATCTATTATCTATTTGTTTAAGATTATTCATGGGTTTCTTTCTTTCTTTACTCTAGGAACTCCAAAAACTGTTAGGGTTGAGAGATCTGCTGATCAGGTACCCAGATTATTCATTTTGGGATTCTCCTTTTTATTATTATAAGTTATGTTGGAACTTTGTGTTAATTGTACTTTACACCTTGTTGATCAAAATCTATTATAGCCATTTTATGTTGTTTCTCATGGTGGGTGGAATTTTTCAGGTCACAAATAGCAGAGTCTCCAGTATGTTTGCTGGAACTCAGGAGAAATGTGTTGCTTGTAAGAAAACTGTTTACCCAATTGAAAAGGTAAGAGTAGCAATCATTATAAGATCCATTGGTAACTTTGCTAGAGCAATTCACTTTCTTAGTAAATTTTATAATGGTGTTTAAGATTAAAGGCCTATTTCCTTTGTTTCTTAAGAATGGATTTTTGGTCTATTTATAGATATAAATAGATTTAAATTTGAATTGCCAAGAACATTGTCCTCTCTTAGATTTATGCAAGTAAATTTAGTTTCTTATTCTCTCAAAAAGCATGAACAACATCACTTTATCTTTAATAAAGAGTATCACTTCTGATTTGAAATTGCTTTCTTAAAATTAAATGATTATGTTATATACCAGTTATTAAAAATTTTGTTTTCACTGTGTTACATATGCGGTGGTTGTTCTGACCCAATTACTGCATCTTATAGGTGGCAGTTGATGGCACATCATACCACAAAGCCTGCTTCAGGTGTACTCATGGAGGTTGTGTGATCAGCCCATCAAATTATGTGGCTCATGAACATCGTCTCTATTGTAGGCATCACCACAATCAACTCTTCAAGCAGAAGGGTAACTTCAGCCAACTTGACAACCGCGAACAGGTTAAAGGGATGACTGAGAACACAACAGCTTAGTGAAACTGTGAAATTTTCTTGTTTTAATGTGAGAATCTGTGTTTGGTTGGATAGTGAATTTCCAAGCAAGAGTCGGGACGTTGAAGCATACAAGAAGAGCTATGTGATTTTATTTCTTTTTTTATATACATATAATTTGTCATTGCAAAAAAATGTTTGGTAGAGGAGTTTTGGTTTTTGCCGAAATTTTGTGTGGTGAGCTCTAAATTGACAAAGGCTTGAAAGAGTTGATTGTTCAGTCCCTAACAGTGAATAATGTGAATAGCCGAAATGGTTTCTGTGTGCTCAAAGGTTTCAAGCTTGATCTGGTTAAAGATTGTTTAGGAGTAGATTCCTCTTCGATTATTGGTAGTCATGTTTCTCAACCTTGTGCTTTTCTTTAAAGTTAAAATGCTGCATGCCTTCTTACTTTTATCCCCTTCAATTGATAGTTATGTATTAAGATTCTTAGCTGCTTACTGTCGTTACTACATGGCTAATTAAAAGACTAGTTTGCTATCCTTCGAACACAATTTTGGGTGGATGTATGTTTGATGTCTTTCCTATTCATGTTTTGCACAATCTTGAGAGTCAAGCCCAGTATAAGTCGGTTCAGAAGACCAAAAAATTTGTGGGTTGACCATGTCCACAGTAGCTGAGGAGGTGTGTGGACATCATTGTATGGAACTTGCTGATCAATCCATATCAACAATCCTTTTTGTCCCTTAATGAGCCAGGATGTTTCATCTTGTTTAGCAGCTTGCATTGAACACCAACCGAGCAAAAGTCTGCAAGAGCAACCCAGTCAAATGCTTTCCTTATAATAATAATACTGTCCTCGGATCATATTTTCAACAAGAAAATAAAAGGGTGCAAATCGAAATTTCCTTTGTATATATTCTGCACTCTTTATATTCCACTCAATTTAATATGCTTTAAAGGTAAATGAAGTTTTCCATTCACAACTAATCTACTAACCACCCAAATTATTATATCAACTGATAATCTCATATAATCAGTCTCAATTTACCTCCATAAGCTACTGTTACCTCTCAGTCAAGAATTTACTTTCATCATTATCCTTCTCATTTCTCACCAGCTCTAGTACGGGTTCTAACGATCAGATTCAGGCCTCATATTAAATTTTCAAAAGTCTTTTGAGTATATTTTCACCTCTGATACATAAATTCTAATCTTGAAAGTACCAGTATACTATCACGTTCGGGATCATTTATTGTTCACTGTATATGGAGAAAATGTTCACGGGCTTGTTGCTTGTAACTGAGTTTGAAGTTTTGAACCAGATTTTTATTTGTGGGCAGTTTTGATCAAATGTTGAGAGTGATGTTTTGATTGGAGGCTCATCTTCAGACTTCAGGACACCGAAATTTTCTACTGCTCTTGTTGGTATATATGCAGTTATATTTCTGAGAAGTATGTTATCAATTTTAGTAGAGCATGATTTTGGTTATTGAATATGTTAGGCTTTAAGAGATCACTACTCTTATCTTCGGCTGTCCACTACTTTGAAAAGTGCAATAAAATGAGAGATACCCATGTAACTTGGCAGTGTTATATGGAAGTTAAGCTTCAAGCTTAGCCTATTCTTGCAGAATTCATCAAGAAGATGTTGATCAATAAGTTGAGAAATCATCAATTTCTTTAGGGTTCTGAGTGCTGAGCTTTGATCATTGTGTGGACTAGTCAAAAATTTACGAAAGTCATCATTCTCATTAAGCTCTAAGCCATCTCCCAAGTTTAATGGAGAGAAATAACAATAATAAATAAGTATTATTCTGGTTTTCAAAGAAGGAAGGTGTTCCTGCAGGCTTCAATGATTATCGGTAGTTAACAATCCCTTCAAACTTTGAATGCAAGCAAATGCAAGTTGCATGAGGTCATTGTTCAAATCAATCAAAAAATCACTCGTTGGAGTGCTTTGAAAGTTGAGCCTACATTGACAGCAACTCCATTTTGGTGTATATAATCTGGATAAAGTCTTTTGTGGTCAGAAATTTGGACGTAGCTCTCTGGACTTTTAAGTTTGAGCTACCCCCCTAAATCAATCAGAACCACTCATTATCACCGTTGTTTGAAAGCTGTAATTCTCAGGCATTAATTGAGGAGGTTCAGCTTCTGCCATGTCCCATATGAGAAGATTTTATGCAGAAAACTCAATCAGCTACAGTAGAGGTTTAACTTCCTTAATTCATTGCTCTATCATTCATTCATTAATCTTGTTACACATTTAGTGGTTGTTAGGGATAGAGACAAATTTTATATCATGCTATAAAGATTTGGTATATAATGGCAAAAATTCGATGGCCCACTTCTAAAGAATTCTATGCGTGTTTTTCATGGGCTGAGGATGACCCCCTTGTGTTAATACACTTCATTTTTCATATGCTTACATAATATTCTAACTGCAGAATACTGAATTGGTTGCAGTCATCCATTCTATGTATTGAAGCCATATTTGTATCTTAATTATAGGAATATATATAAACTACAACGTTTAATCATACATTAAACTATGTTTATTTCCCTAGACTTAACAAAGCGTTAGCAAATAATAATTGCGGTTAACAAACAATGTGTTCAGGATTCTTCAGCTGAAGTGGAACTGACATTAATCGGGTCATATAATGAAGATTTATATTATTTAACCCATACTGATAATAATTCTAGTATTGTTAGTACTGTGAAATGAATTGTTTTTTAGTTGACTTCTTCTGACACGGTGTGATAATGCTAGCAGGGACTGATGCTTGAGGCTAAAAGAAGCATAAACAAAATAGTACCAGGGCACTGTTCTTTGAATCTTGTTCAAATAAGAAATTGATTAACAAATTTAAAATCCAAATTCTGGGTTGGTTCCAAACTAGCAGGTGAAAGTTCCAGGGACATCATGATTTTGTTCTACTTAATTTTCTATAATCAATTAATGATGGTTGTTGGAATAGTTCTAGTCTTGCAAAGCAATGATTAGGATTTAGAAGTTCTGTTCCTTGTATCTTGGTGGCCAGGTGACCCATCTGTTCTTGGCATGAAACTAGCAGATCTATGTTTATACAATACCAGAAACAAAATCTGACCCACGATTGATTATGTTCTTAGGCCATAATGCCCAAATATCTTGTTAATTTTACGCATGATAATCAGTAATACAGAGTAACAGGACATATTGGTAAAAAATACTGAAGTAGGTTGGAGCTCGATGAAATGATCATTTCTTTCTTTTACTTGGTTTGAGAACCTCTTAATTGTTGCCAAGATTGGATTTTGTAGCTTATCTCTTATCATTTATCAAGCACATAACATGACTAGAGTATAATGAAAACCAAAATCATAAAATAGTCTTTGGAGAAACTCTAACTACATTAACAGAAGAGCACTTGATGATTACAAATACTTTAATTGGATATCGATCACTGTTTGCTATACAAGTTTTATGCATTACTCAGATCCGCACTTGATGAATTTTTTTGCTCCCTTGGCAAACTACCCACTTGCTGCTTTGTAATTTTAACAGGTTTAACAAGACTGGATTTGTGTGCTGTTGGAGTCTCTGGCTCTTCTGCAGCCTCTTAGGAAGGAAGACATAAAAACCAGGATCAGCTTCCAGCTTCTGAGATGCTTTGTAATGAGGGTTGCCATATTCTTGATTTGGCTGCAGCTGTGTTGGTAGATGATGTTGTTCTTGGTCGGTTTCTTTCATGTTTCTTCCCCTGAACAAGATTAATTGATCATTCTAGTTAGAAAAACAAGTTTCAGGAATAGTATGAACATGAGTAAAACAGACAACTAAATAATCTCTCTTGATATGTTTAAGGAAGTCTAAACTAAGGATCAAATGATCATCTAACGTAGAGATAAAGTGAGTAAGAATAATAATTGTTTGAAGGAATTCACCTGATGATCTTTGCTTTTTGGCTTCTCATGTACCCTCTCTGGCTTTTCAGCTAATTCTGGCTTGTTTCTGTTCATCTTTGCATGCTTCTTTGCCCACAACCCTTTCATAACATCTAAACCCACAAACCAAAAACACACATGAGCATCTCAAATCAAACTCAACTACATGAAAACCAAGTAAAAATCAAAACTTTACCCACACACCTTGAGTAGTGATGAGTCTATAAACTTGTCCAAGAACAAGAGTATCAGTTGGGCGAAGAAGCTTAATCCTTGTCAACCGAACAGAATTCCCATTGTTGCCGTTGTTGTTGGTGGTGGTGGCGACGACGGTGGCGGTGGCGCTGTTGTTGTTGTTGTTGTTGGGGCATCCATCAATATTATTAGTATGATTATTATTTGTTGGACACAAGGTGGTAGAGATGAGAAGAGCAACATAGTGACCAGGGTTCATCCTCATAATCTCGCTAGCATTCACAGGCCAATACAATTTGTCAACTTTCCCACATGGATGTTGTATCACAAGCGTTGCTGTATCAATGGCTTGGCAGTTCCCCATTTCCAATCTTTCTTCCTCTTCCTCAAACTGAAACTGAAACTACTTGAAAAAAAGAAGAATCTGTTGAAATGAGCAGAGAAAGAGAAAGAGCAAAGAGCAAGCTGAGGTATGCAAACAGTCTCTTTATAGCCACACCATCCCACCAACTTACAAGTGGCTATAAATATGCCTTCACTCCGTTAAAATCCATGAGGGTGATAAAGGGGCAGTTTTGTCAATTTAAGTGGGGAATTAAGAAAGTTAATTGAGATATGAAATGATGTGGTGAGCTGTGAATGGTTGTCATAAGGGGACAAACAAAGTTAAGACCCAGAGTTTGATTCATAAATTCATATTCTAACCCCTTGATAATGTACGTTACGGACTACGCTGCACCCCACCCCTCCATCACCCTTCATATGCCATCAACCGTTCGATTTTCCAATTCGGTTTCCTTCTTGGACGGTTATTTGTGGACTCTTGTTTTGCCAACAATGCTTTTACCCTAGTCGCACTCACTGTGACGTGAAACACAAGCACACAACTTGGTTTTAATTAATTTATACAAAAATACTAGTATAATTGGTGTAACGTTGATAAAAGAGAAAAAGACAGTAATAATATTCATGTCTCGATTTTGGGTGGCACGCTCTTGGGAGAGCGTGACGGGAGTGGGAGTGAGGTGGAGCAGGGTGAGCACAGAGACGTTTCATGCTGGCCACCGAACCTAAGAGGCATGAAATTTAGTGAGGTGAAGAGATGCCACAACACGTAATAAGTGGATGTCGCGTGTGAGACATCTCTTTCTGCACTCCCTTTTTTTTTTCTTTTTTAAAATTTCACTGGTGCGTTACAATAACAAAAAGCCTTCCAAAAAGACGCATCCAATTTTGTCTTTTTCATTTTCATTTTTTAATTTCAATGATTTCATTCCATTTTCTATGTGAGATTGCTTCCAATTAAAATGAAATAAACCTTAATTGGGTCGGTTTGACGATAAAAAAAAAGTTTACTCTCTTTATTAATTTTTTGGATTTGAACGTCACTTATTTATAAAGTATTCAATATTCTCTAAAGACTGATCGAAACGCAAACAAATTGATTTGAACACCCTAATCATAAAAAAAAATAAATAAATAAAAAAACCCTAACTTCAAACACCCTTATGTTTTCTGGGTAGAGATTGGGATGATTTAATAATGAAAGTTGAGGTGGGGGTGAGGCCAAAAGTGAGAGTTAAATAGAATAATTTAGGGCATGGGAATGGGAATGGGATACTTCACTTGTTATCTACACTATTGACTTATCACTTGACTGGTGCTTTTAACCATATCATTGTTAACATATGGGGACCATGAATAAGGTTCCATGCTTGGTTGCCAAAACTGGGAACAATCAATCCATAAATTTTTCATCCAGATCAAGTGCTCTGTCACCTATTTCTTTCTGTCTTTCAATCTCATCACTCTCAATTCATATATATGCTAATGGTCCCTCTTATTTTTTCACTACACCAAAGTTCAAATAAACAAATAAAAATTACCCACAAAAGTAACCCTTTTTCACTTTTTGGGTCCTTTTTTTTTTAATGATTCGTATCATTTTGAGTTGAAAGAGTTTAGATTTCTCAATCCCCCGGAGCCCAGACACATGCCATGTATAAATATTGATGACAGCTTTGACCCATTAATTACTTCATCAACGGCCTAAATCATAATAATGCCCTCTAATTATACCATCCTCATATCCCTAAATTTTAACTCTTTTTGATAACCGAGGTGTCCCAATAAGTTTAGACGCATCTTAACTAATCTCGAAGTTCATTGACATAGTCTAAAGAACCAAGTAAATCACAATATTATTGTGGTATGTGATCCCAACGTTTAAATTCAGAAAAGCAAGGAATGAAACAAACCTTCTTAACCCTTTGTCTCTCTGCTGTTCATATATTTATTTTCTTTTATTAATAACTTACTATTAATTATTACAATAAGAATTATCTTCTTTCTCTATAATTCCACGTGAAAAATGAAGCTCATCACATGCCCAATTCTGAATCAGTGCTTGTTCTAAAACTAACCCAATTCTCAAAATGTTTTACTCTGAAAATGTGAATAAAATAAGTTATCAAACATTCGAAACTTTTATTTCCATTGATTAAAAAGAAGGCTAGTAGTAATGGTTCAAGGTCATGCAACTTTTGACTCTTTTTAGAAGCCTTTAAAAAAATATGAGTCTACTTTATCTCAAAGAAAACCCAGAATAATGTTAAAAGCATAGCCATGAATGAAAACTATATTGAGACCTGTGATAATTGAAGATTTGCACTGCACACACTAAAAAGGGGTTACTTTTTCCTCTTAAGAAAATCCTAATCTGAGTGGCCAAATCCCAGAAAGCAAATTACAGAGAAGAAGTGTGCAAGCCATGTGAAAGAATTAGGTAGGTGGTATTATTATGATAGCTTCCCACTTCAAATGGTTCATTTTCTTTGGTGCAAAATATGAATTCAAAGTGGGGACTCCATAGATTTAACTTCTTATGTACAAATTGTACAAAGTTTTGTGTAAAATAGGAATATGAAAAGTCCTCCCCATTGATTTAATTTATAAAACTAGTGGGTATCATTGAATTTGAACTATCTTCCTTTACATGAAATAAAGTGGGTGGGGACAATATTTGGGATGTCCTTATCTCACTGCCTTTGCCATTAATGAATTCAAATTCTAATAGAAAATACCCACCAAACAACATCTTGAGTATTTTTAGGGTTTTTGGGTGGAAATGAGTTTTTATTTGTTTCAGCTTTTATGTACCAATTCTGCTTGACAAATACCAAAAAATGGGCTTAGAGAATTCAACAGAATTCCAAAATTTGTCATCTTATTTCTCTTAGGGCAACAAGTAGGTAAGATGGAGAACTAAAAAATTGAGAGAATTTTGTGTAGTTAAATAAGGGTCTTAAATGTGCTACAAATTCATTTCAGTTGGGACGACAAAAATCTGTTTGCTAAGATCTTTATAAGACCAAATCCCATAATGGTTTTCAGATAATCCAGTTAATAGAATGGTTGATTTCTGGTTAGTTTATAATTGAGACCAAAAGTTAAAGAATAGTGGGATGGCTGGATATTGATTTTTTCTAAAGGATTCTCTGAGCATCTGTTGTCAGCTATGTATAAAGTGAGTGATATTTTATACATCTTTATATCTATTATTCACTGGGTCATTGATGGGCCTTTACTACAAAATGGAGCATCTCCATTTAAATCTGCTTTTTGCAGAAGTAGTACCCAGCTCTTTGCAACTTTTATGATTAACTTTTATTCCTTTCTTCAGTGCTTTTTTCCAGCAACTTAGAAATGGAAATAATCGCTCAAACAAACCCACAAATATGACCTCAACTTACCACGTTTGTGCCCCCATATTACTAAACATAATGTTGGTTTTAAACTTTAAAGGTTTTCTGCTGGATTTGACGCATTTCCTTTAAAAAATGTTGTTTGAAATTGTTCATAATGTAAACCTGATAAGGTATTTCAGTCTGGCATAGTATTTGAGTTTCATGAAATGATAAATGTGCAGATGCTGGACTAGAATCTACAAGGAAAAATATCAAAACCAGGTGAATGAGAAAGGCAATATAACAGCATCATTGCTACCTCAAATCAGCGTCTTGCATTGGATTTACAGAAAGAAAAAAACAAAACAATTCGACAAATGTTCTTTGACCATCCTATAGAGAAACATACTATCTTTTACTGCTATATAGCGTGTGATTAGATTTCACAAGAGAGAACATGAAGATATTTAATATGTCTCCACAAAGAGCTCCAGAAAACATTTGGGAGAGCAATATTTGCTAAAACCGACTTAACTTAGTGCTGCCTCAATCACACAGATGGGAAATATTTGTTTAAATTGAAGGGCAGGGAATAGAATTCTTCACTCCTTGTATCACCCTTGAAGGATCTGAACTTGTCCCACCAATGCTTACCCCTGTCTTTCCTGATTTGACCATCCTTTTTATGAAGTGTGTTATCCAGGAAAAATGCTACGATACCCGCAACAAATGGTTCTGATGAGAAAGGAACATTTACAATGTCGTTGAACTGCCAATAAGAAGAGCATGACAATCACATCAATGAAGCGCAACCAGTGATAATGTATATTTTATTAAAAGCTTAGTAGAGATCAAGAGATTGATAAATTTTATGCATACCCATCTTGCACTTGTGTGAACTGGACCATATCCATTAATGGCAGTGTACTCATTGAAGTACTGTGGCACAGACAAACCGATGAAGATGGAGAAGCCTAGTATGAACTTTACTCGAAAGCTGTTGAGGTGGCAGAACTGAAGGAAGCTAAGACCTACAGCACCTGCACAGGCGTAATGGAATGAACTTTTGGTCACTGAGACCATAAATAAAGCGGAGATCCACAAAACTCTTGTTAACCATACATACCCACATAAGCAAAGAAAAGGCAATACAAAGCTGCAATAATGGGTCCTGGTATTGAAGCAAATACTGCTCCAAATTTCCCTGCACGATAATGATAAATGAACTGATCATATGAACAAAACACTTGAAAAGAATGCCAATAATATATCAAACCTTTAAAAAAATATTCACAAAATCAACTTACCAAGAACAGAGAAGAAAATCATAAAGCCAGCAGATATTTGGACAACCCTTCGGCTTCCAACTCTTGTCAAGGCCAAAAGACCAGCATTCTCTCTGCATATAAACAATTTTAGGTAAATATGAATCTCCATTTTCCAATTTATCAACATAGAATGCTCATCCAGCAGAAAGGTAGGCCCGGCAATAGCTTACACAGATACAGAAGTTCCATTCACAGTCCCAAATAATCCGGACAACAAAATGCCAACTCCCTGAAGAAAAAACAAAATATTGATTCATTAATAATAAGAACTTAATATTCACCTGAAATTTAAGATGATGATGCAGTCGAAAGAAGTCAGCCACTAACTCCAGGAATTATGCTTTTATATTTCTAACATATATTTAACATGATTTCAGCCAAAGTTTATTAATTTTGACTTTTACTTATCAAATGTTTCCTTTTGATCAATCAATCAATGTGGTTTTAAATGATGTGTACGCTGAGGTTGAAACTTCCGTAAGGACATGCAAGATATGAAGAGGAAATAAAAACTTGCATGCAAGAGCCTGCGTCAGTGATATGGTTATGAAAAACTTACCTAAAAAAACAAACTATTCCTATGAAACAGGACCAAGCCAGCCCTTCCCCCACCACCCCACCCAAAAACCAAGAAGAAGATGAGACAAGCCTTTGAGATTACCTGCCAACCAACACCACGGCTGAGAACTGAAGGTGGCATGGGAGTTGCACTTGCATACCTTGACACCGCAATGAAAGCACCAGTGGACTGAAATCATTGGATGTAAATGAGAATGAGTGTACTTCAAGAAACTAAACAACATTGTAATCAAATATCCCACAAAATATCAACTAAGCCACATAAATGCATGTTTAAAATGCAATATGGACAACCAAAAAAATAATAATTACTGAAGTCTATAGGATACAGAATATGAAAATTTTAGTTTCAGTCCTTTGCCTATGGATTCGATATCACCATAATCCCCAAGAATCAGCTTTTTCAAAAGTATGACTATCAAAATTTGAAACTGTTTTACTAGCTCATTGGGTATAGGAGTTGAAATAAAATGGTAGGGCAGAAAGAAAGACTGCCAATAACATCAAAAGCATAAATTATAAAACATTTTGGTCCTTAATCTAGAAGCAAAAAGAAAAAGGGGAAGAGCAAAGGAAAAAAAACAAACCTCAACAAGAGCAACAAATGAGGCCATCATCATTGCAAAGGCTTCACCAGCATCAAATGCGGGTGCTCCCCACTGGAAAGGCCAAGGAACTCTTATCCTGCAAGACCATAATAACAGTAAGGAATACAGAAATAATAAGCCACACTTAAAACCACATGTTAAATTCACAAAGGGTTGTAAATAAATCTATTTCAAGAATTACAAATTATACTCTAGGTTACTCATATAATTTAACAAGATGTACACATTATAAAAGTAATCATGGACAGTAATTGCTGCCAATACTTGCAAGAGAAAATACTCAGTGGTTCATAGTTCCATGAGGGTTAAGCAAACTTAAAGCATCAGAAGCCTTCTCCTATATGAACTAAATCAGCCAATTCAAACAAATCATCTAAGCTGAATATTTTCAAATAGACCATGTCACTCCAGTATTGTAAGATCATATCGAAACCTAAGTAATTCAAGCTCGTTATTAGATTGATTCCATCATCTTAACATCTTTCCTCCCCTAGCTACACAATAGTTTATGACACGCATGTCAAAGTGCCGAGTTTTTGGCTCCCACGCCAACTAACAAAATAAGTTTGACAATCGAGCATTGACAACAATAATTATTAAATACCAAATTTCCAGAAAATATAGCTATACCATGGGTAGTTTTATGAGATAAGCACAACCAATCACAAGTAAATACCTCATTTCAGAGATTGAACAAGCATGATGCAAGTAAAGAAATGCTTAAACAAGCAACTTGTTAACATATACAGGTCAATTTACCAGGGAGCAGCATCTATAAGTCCAGCACGATCAGTTCGACAGCTAGCTTGAGTTTTAGGTCCAACATTATTATAGGCCCCACCCACTGTGAGTAGGTGAGCATAGATCCACACAATAACCACAGAAAATATTACAGCGAAACGATCAAAGATATTTTTCCCTCGGCTTATGATATGGGGCAAATACTGCAAAACAAGCACACAATTAATTTAAAAGGGTAACAGAGATAAAAATCACAAACAGAAAGAGATTGTACTACACAAGGTGCTACACAATTAGGCGAAGAGCGGGGGGCAGAAACCCCAGCAGGAACCCTTTCACCACGACACATAATTCAATTGTAACAAGAAACTTCGTGTAACAGATAATTGGACATACCTGAGAAATAAATACTATGAGGAGAAGCTGAGGCAGTCCAATCTCCACACATTTGGCAACCTAAACAAAAACAAAGAGACAACAGCCATCACTGGATAGATGATTTATTAGTATTTGAGTATGGATGGGTGGATGATGTGCATCTTTGATAAAGTAAAGTCAGCAAAACAAGACTTACTCCCGGAAAACCAAACTCATACAGCCCAAAACCCACTAGAGCAACTAAAGGAACAGCTGAAAGTGGGCTTAGAAACCTGAAAATAGCAAAAGGCTAATTAGCATCACTTTCAAAACTTTAACAAGAAAACACCCATAACAGAATAGCAAACCATGTAATTAGAATCAGCAGCGAGGAAAGAAAAAAATGTTTTAAGTAGTCCACTCTTGTTTTAATTTATTAGCATCAGTTTGGTTTCTTAACTAACCTTGTAACATTACGCCAAAGCCCACTGAAGCCTAGGACAATCTGAAGAGTCGATGCAACAATGAGAGAACCCTGGATTGCCCTCATGGTTCTCTTAAATTTCTGAATAAGCATCAAACCAAAACATGGTTAGAACCCAGAAGGTAATAACATCTACGAGACCAATGTGGTGTTAAAATGGCCAATATATCTTCCCTTACATCTATCTACTTCATTTTCTTTCTAATTGGAATTTTTAATATGAACTTCTGAGTGTAACCATCCCATAATTAGGTTTTTGAGAAAATATTAAGCCCCAACAGAATGTTAGCTGACAAGATATTTGAAGGCATAAATTGCAGAAATTATATTCCACACTGTATACTAAGCATATTTCATGTAGGTCAACATGTATCCTACAATTTATCATTCCAAACAAGCACCATTAATACACAGTAATGGGTTGAGATGGTAAAACCTCAACAGGGTCAGCACCATCACTGAATCGACCAGCAAGGATAATTGAAATTGTTGTAGGGACAAAAGTGTAAGACCCTCCCATAACAGCTGGTAGTCGAGTCCCAAAAAATGATTGCAGCAATGTGTTCAAACCAGCAACAAAGAGCAGTGTCTGGATAACCTTAGCTTTCTCCTCCTACAAGAACAGCAAATGTGCATTAATCATGCTATATATCTAGAGATCAAAAGGACTCTTCTATATTATGTTAAATTTATTGTCCTCAGGCCCTACATTTCCACCTCCCATCTGGGGAACAAGCGCCGTCGGAATGAGAACTGTCGTCCCCAGCATCACAAGGTAATGTTGAAAACCAAGAAGAATAGCCTCAGCTGCATCAGAAATACACCACAATTCAATAAACTGAGCACAGGTTATTTAACAAATTACACACATTTCAAAACAAGAATTTCAGTAATTTAAAAAAATAAGCTAATTTTAATTTCTCAGAACTGAAACTTAATCACATAATAAGCAAAAAAAAAAAAAAAAAAATTATGTAAAGTAATATTCCTTTTAAATTTTTGAAAATTAGAATCCAAAAAGTGAGAAGAATAATTAGGTTTATTTTGACAAAATGGCATATTAACTTTTTTTAAAAGGGGTATATACCCAAAAGACGAGAAGACTCAAAAGGAGAAAAGCTACTTTCAGCTAAAAGAACAACACAGAGAAAGAGCATATCCTAGACAAATTAACATTACCAAAACCTTTACTACTTGGAATCTACTAAACCGGATACAGAATAATCTTACTCAGAAACCAAAACAATCACTCACAATAAAAAAAAATAAAAAATAAAAAAAAATCCAAACACATAACTCAAAACCTCAAAAAAGCAGAATCTATAATCCAAATGAACAGAAAAAAATATAAAAAATTAAAAAAAAAAAAAACTTACGCCATGGTGGAGGACTAGTAATGCAATAAGAAATGTTGGGAAGCTGATCCTTTGAGGGGTGTGGCTGTGGCTCAGGGGGTGGTTTTGCTGCTCCGCCGCCAGACATGATCTTGCTTCTCTCCTCCTCTAAAACTACCAAAAAAACGAAGAAGCAGAGCAGCTAAGAAGAGGAAACAAAACACAAATCTGAGCAAAACCCAGATCCTGAATGTTGAAGAAGGTAGCAGAAAAAAAAAAGACAAGAAAACAAAGAAAACACAACTCACATGTATAGCAGTACCCACAAAGATAGTGAAGTAGAGAATAATGGAGCTGGGGGTTGTGTGTGAAAAGTAAGAAAAGTGTAAGCCTCCTTGTACCAGAGCCTAGAGAGGTCTATAGATATAGATACAAATGTATGGTAAAAATTAATAATTGAAACCGAAAATTGATAAGAAAGTAAGTTTGAAGGAAAGCAAGTAAATAAAGTACCTTTTCAACTTTTTAACAATCTTTCAAAGCAAAATCAAGTGAAATTGCATCAAAAGTCAAGACTTTCAATAAATCACGTCCCACACCAAAAATATGCTTTCACTTTAAAGCAGAGAGAGAGAGAGAGAGAGAGAACAACTGAACTGAACAGAAGATTATAAATACAAATAAATAAATAAAAATGTTTTCTGTGTAGCAAAAATGAATAGCGGTTGTTTTTGTGTTTTTTTTATTTTTTGTTTTGGGTCATTAAATTTAAGTTTGATTAGTCAGTTGGTTCAATCATATCACATCCAAGTGAGAAAAAACTGTGGGAAGAGAGAAACTACTGACCGGAGAAAAATATATAATATTGACAAGGCTAAAATTGATTCTTTTAAGAACGAAAACTACGTCGTGTCAGTTTATGGACAAATGATCAAGTTTTCGTAGAGGGAAATGACGAAATGAGGGTTGGAAAAGTTAGAAGGCTCCGCCAAAGGGAGAGGTTGAGGAAGGGGTAATTTGGAAAGGAGGGAAAGAAAATCACGTGTGGAGTGTGTAAGAGGAATTGAAAAAAGAGGACAGCCGACAAATTCTCCATCTTAAATAAGAAATCAGAAATTCAGCAATGTATAGATTAGTCATTAGCCGCCCCGGCCCCCCCAAATCTCTCTCTCTCTCTCTCTCTCTCATAATTTCCTTATTCTTTGGCCGCTTCTTAATTCAAAGAAAATATTGAGTTATTTGATGGATTATATGGAGAAGGGATTTCAAATTTGATGATATTTAAAATAAGATATTTGAACTTTTAATATTCAGAGCTAAAAGTATGTTCAATTAATTATATTAAGAAATTTAAAATTGAATTTTCTTTACTCAATAAATCTAAGTTCTAGTCTCTCTTCTAGTTATTAATAGGAATAACTACTGGAGCTTTTATCTAATCGATAATTTTAAGGTCTCAAATATGTAATTGAGACCTAGCTCGGACACCTCGGTTATAAACAAAATATTATATATTATTTTTTTATGTATATATAATTTTTTTTATAACTGAAGTGTCCGAACCGGCTTACTATCATCTCAACTACTCCCTGAGACCCTAAAACTATCGGTTGGGTAAGAGCTCTAGTAGCTATCCCAATTAACAACCAAAGAGAGACTAGAATTCAAATTTCTTGAGTAATACATCCAAGAGTCATTATCGAACCGCTCAACCATCGAGAAATAGTTTTTTACCTTCTATTTACAAGCTCTTGACTATATATATTTATTGGTAACCGAGGTGCAGGGCCAACCCAATGGGTAGAAAGGCGAGACACTTGCCTAGGGCCCCAAAAAATAGGGCCAAAAATGACCTAAATTTTTTATAATTTTTTTTAATATATTACAAAAATAAAAATAGTATATATTTTCTTATCTAGACTAGCCCAAGGGACCCCAAAAAAAAAAGCCAAAAAAGCTAAAATTAATTATAAACTTTTTACGTATATTCTCACCCAGAGTTTGACGAAATAGCAAGTTTGTACCTTTAGTTTCATATATTATAATTTACACTCCTAAATTAACACATTGAATTTCTTTTAACAGTGAAAGGCTAAAATGGTTATTTTCATGCGTCAAATTACTCACCCCCAATTCAATTCCAAAATTCGACATTTACATAAATCATCTCCACCCCTCTTCCACCACTGGTCGCTTTGAGCTAATTCCAATTGATTTACTCACCAAAATCGAGAGGAATAATCACTTTATCATTTCCTAAGTATTTTCTTAGCCTTGATAGCCCTCGATTTGACCCATTTTTTACAAATCTTGCAACCCAGCTCCATCGCGTGCGACAGTCATTTTCGGACTTTTTGGCATGTACCCGGTGTCATTAGCCTTCCTTCACACCACCATCTTCCTCCCCCCAGCCCTCTTACCAAAACCCCTATCATACCTCATCTGTTTACTCTGCCAATCGTCGGTCACCAATACCTCTTGGGGTCGTAACTTCTCAAGCCTTTTCCGGTCTATCCTAACATTATTAATCACCCATTTCACCACCCATCACTTCTCCAAAATCTGCTCTCCAAAACCCCCCACTAACTTGATCTCGTTAGCCCGCTGGTCACCCCACCTCTCTTAGTGATTTTGCATCTCAAAAGCCAAAAAAAATAAATTTGAAATGATTTTTTTTTAATATATGCTAAAATTATTAGAAGACTTTCAAAGTAACTCTTGCTTAGGGTCACAAATATTCTTGAGATGACTCTGTCGATGTGTCTGGACAGCTTGCTCGTACCTCAATTAATCTTCAAGATCCATTGAATATCTTACAAGTCCAGATGACCAAATAAGCAATAATATTTTTGTGGTAAGTGGTCCCAAAATTTGAACTCAAAAATTCAAAAAAGAGAATAAATCTCCTTGGCCGTCGGGTTATCCCATTAGGGCTTATGACTATATTAATTTCCCTAATTCTAATAGGAGTATAGGACAAGTCTAATTATTATTTACTTAAACATTACAAGATCACCTTTTCCATATTTAATAACTGAAACATACCTCATCATATTTCAACCACTCACTTAATAACAGAATTTATTATCAACTTTATTTTTGCTTCATTATTGCATGAAAAAAAAAAATTAAACATTTTCGTGGGTTATAACACACATAACGTATCTAATTATTATTATGATTTTCAAAATGACGTGTTCCACATGCCAAATATATACTTCAGAAATAATGAATTAATGCGTGTTATTGCAATAATCTTAGAATCTAATTATATTTATTAATTTCCGTAAGTCTTCTAATTTGGGGCATCGTCACTANAGGTGCAGGGCCAACCCAAGGGGTAGGCAAGCGAGGCACCTGCCTAGGGCCTCCCCAAAATATCGCCAAAAGTGACCCAATTTTTTTATAATTTTTTTGAATATATTACAAAAATAAAAATAGTATATAATTTCTTATCCAGACTAGCCCAAGGGATCGAAACAAAAAAAAAAAAAAAACTCAAAAAAACTCAAATTTATTATAAACTTTTTACATATATTCTCACCCAAAGTTTTACGAAATAGCAAGTTTGTATCTTTAGTTTCATATATTCCAATTTACACTCCTAAATTAACACATTGAATTTCTTTTAACAGTGAAAGGCTAAAATTGTCATTTTTATGTCTCAAATTACTCACCCTCAATTCAATTCCAAAATTCGACATTCACATAAATCATCTCCACCCCTCTTCCACCACTGGTCGTTTGGAGTTGATTTCAATTGATTTTCTCACCAAAATCGACAGGAATAATCATTTTATCATTTCCTAAGTGTTTTCCCAACCTCGATATCCCTCAATTTGACCGATTTTTTACGAATCAACCCCAACTCCATCGCGTGCGATAACCATTTTTGGACTTTTTGGCATGTACCCGGTGTTGTTGGCCTTCCTTCACACTGCCATCTTCCTCCCCTCAACCCTCTTACCAAAACCCCTATCATACCTCATCCGTTTACTTTGCCAATCATCGATCACCAATACCTTTTGGGGTCACGACTTCTCAAGTCTTTTCTGGTCTATCCTAACATTGTAAATCACCCATTTCACCACCCATCACTTCTCCAACATCTACTCTCCAAAACCCCCCACCAACTTGATCTCGTTAGCCTGCTGGTCGTCGCCCACCTCTCTTAGTGATTTTGCATCTCAAAAGCCAAGAAAAATAAATTTGAAATAATTTTTTTAATATATGCTTATACTATTAGAAGACTCTCAAAGTAACTCTTACTTAGGGTCACAAATATTCTTGAGATGGCCCTACCGAGGTGTCCGGACAGCTTACGCGTACCTCAACTAATCTCCAAGGTTCATTGAATACCTTACAAACCCAAATAACCAAGTAAGCTATAATATTATTGTGGTAGATGATCTCAAAATTTAAACTCAAAAATTCAAGAAAGGAAGCAAATCTCCTTGGTCGTCAGGTTATCCCATTAGGGCTTATGACTATATTAATTTCCCTAATTCTAATAGGAGTATAGGACAAGTCTAATTATTATTTACTTAAACATTACAAAATCACCTTTTCCACATTTAATAATTGAAACATACCTCATTATATTTCAACCACTCACTTAATAACTGAATTTATTATCAACTTTATTTTTGCTTCATTATTGCATGAAAAAAAAAAATTAAACATTTTCGTGGGTTATAACACACATAACGTATCTAATTATTATTATGATTATCAAAATGACGTGTTCCACATGCCAAATATGTACTTCAGAAATAATGAATTAATGCGTGTTGTTGCAATAATCTTAGAGTCTAATTATATTTATTAATTTCCATAAGTCTTCTAATTTGGGGCATCGTCACTATGTAGTTAAACAAGCACAAGTAAATATCTTGTAATTAATGGATTAAAAAAAGAGTAAACGAACTTTTTCCCACCCAATGTTTGCCTTAATGACACTTTCCCACCCAAAAGATTTCAAAATACCACTTTTTCATGTAAAATTAATATTCTGTTATTACCTAAAGTCAATTTTGACAACAAAAATTATCTTCGTCACCACCATATGAACCTCCGGTCTCCTTTTTACAAAACCTCTCTCACTCCAATACTTGATTGCTCGCTAATTGTCGACTATCGTAAAGTTAAAGTTTTCTGTTCTTAGTTGATTTTCGGCTGATTCTGATGATGAATATTCAATCGGTCACCACCATTCGATCCATCAACCTTAACTTTATAAAAATTCTTTTACCCTAACTTCTGGTAATTCGTCATCATTGAACACCGATTGAAAAAGTGAAGTGTATTTTAGATATTAACAGAATATAAACGTTGAGTGGAAAAGTGGTATTTTGATTTTTTGATTTATTTTTTTTTGTGTAAAAATGTCATTAAGGCAAACTTTGGGTGGGAAAAAGTTATTTACTAAAAATGTCGGTGCGACTTGGACCAAGATATTGGTGAAATTCTAAAGGCTTCGCACGAGTTGTTGAATATTGACATACACCATGAATCTCCAAATAGACTAATCAACCACTAATTAATTAATAGTTAACCTCATTCTATCTAGATTAACTTCAGAATCACTTTATTATATTTTATTATTCTTTTTTTGTTTTGTTTTTTTTTTTTTTCACCCTTTATAATGTTAACAAACGAAA